AAATATATTCAGTTTATTTACGAATATTTCAGTATTTTGGTTTTCATTACATAAAATACATTTCAAGCGTTGTTTTATTATTTTACTGTCAGAAAAAACTAAATAGGGATTTGCTAGCTGGGCAAGAAATTGAAATGGGCATAAACACATGCATACATGCATGCATACACCCACACACAATTTATGAGTTCCTGTTTTAATATTAAAAATATGAGCCCTAGTAGCACGGTGGTTAAGCCTTTTGGCTGCTAAGCAAAAGGTCGGTGGTTTGAACTCCCCAGCCTCTCCGCAGGAGAAAGATGAAGCCATCTTCCCTAAAGATTTACAGCCCTGGGGCAGTTCTACTCCGTTCTGTAGGGCTGTGAGTTGGAATCAACCTGATAGCACTGGGTTTGGTTTTCTTGTTTTGAAAATTAAAAATGTAGCAATGTTAAGCAACCTTTTTGGCAGCAAAATGAGCTGGAGTGTGAAACAATGCTAACAATACTGTGACATTGTTAAATGTTCTTAAAACACTAAGTGTATTCCTGTGTCTTGATTCTATGTGACTGTAACTTGTGGGTTTCACCTTGTCAGCAAAAGCCTACCTTCACTTACATCAGACAACTTCTTCCTTTTTTGCAAAGATCTAGCCGTTTGCCCTTCCCTTTTCTCTAACATCACTGTGAGTGGGGACCTTCCCGAGGGTAAGGACAGTACAACTGCAGTCCCTCAACATCCTTTTCTGGATCCTTATGCTGAGACTTGCCAGCCATTTTAAAAAATCAATTACGCAAGTAATTTAAAAATTTTTTAATATTCTCTTAACACAACATGAAGAAAATATTATGTAGTCAATATAAAAATCATTCATAAAATATTTTATATATTTTTTCGTATCAAGTCTTTCAAGTCTGATATTTTTTACACTTACGTTGTTGTCTCAGGTGCCGTCAAGTTGGCTCTGACTCATAGCAACCCTGTGTACAACAGAACGAAACACTGCCTGGTCCTGTGCCAGCCTCACAATCCTTGCTATACCTGAGCCCATCGTTGCAGCCACTGTGTCAATCCATCTTGTTGAGGGTCTTCCCCTTTTTCACTGACCCTCCACTTGACCAAGCATGATATCCTTCTCCAGGGAATGGTCCCTTCTGACAACATGACCAAAGTAGGTGAGATGAAGTCTGGCCATTCTCCTCCCTTCCAAGAGCATTCTGGTTGCACTTTTGGGATAGATTTGTTCATGGTACTTTCGGTATTCTTTGCTAACACCACAACTGAAAAGCATCAGCTCTTCTGTCTTCCTAAATCATTGTTTAGCTTTCGCATGCATATGAAGGTATTGAAATTACCACGGCTTCCGTTAGGCTCACCTTAGTCTTCAAAGAGACATCTTTGCTCTTCAGCACTTTAAAGAGGTCTTTTGCAGCAGATTTGCCCAGTGCAGTATGACGTCTGATTTCTTGACTGCTGCTTTCATGGGTGTTGATTGTAGATCCAAGTAATATGCAATCTTTGACAGCTTCAGTCTTTTCTCCCTTTATTCTGATGATGCTTATTGGTCCAGTTATGAGGATTTTTGTTTTCTTTATGTAGAGGTGTAATCCATACTGCACATTGTAGGCTTTAGTCTTCATCAGTAAGTGCTTCAAGTCATCTTCACTTTCAGCAAGCAAGGTTGTGTCATCTGCATATCACAGGTTGTTAATGAGTCTTCCCTCTATCTTGATGCCACATTCTTCTTTGTATAGTCCAGCTTTTTGGATTATTTGCTTTGTTGAAGATTGAATGAATGTGGTGAAAGTAGAGAACCCTGACAGATACCTTCCTGATTGTAAACCATGCACTATCCCCTTGTTCTTTTTGAATGACAGCCACTTGGTCTATGTACAGATTCCTCATGAGCACAATTAAGTGTTCTGAAATTCCCATTCTTCTCAATGTTATCCGTAATTTGTTATGGTCCACACAGTCAAATGCTTTTGCGTAGTCAGTAAAACACAGTAAACATCTTTCTGATACTCTTTGCTTTCAGCCAAGATCCATCTGACATCAGCAACGATATCCCTTGTTCCACGTCCTCTTCTGAATCCAGCTTGCATTTCTGGAAGATCCCTGTCAACATGCTTCTGCAACTGTTTTTGAATTATCTTCAGCAAAATTTTACTTGCATGCAATATTAATGATATTGTTCGATAATTTCCACATTCTGTTGAATCACCTTTCTTTGGAATGGGTACATACATAGATTCCTTCCAGTCAGTTGGCCAGGTAGCTGTCTTCCAAGTTTCTGGGCATAGATGAGTAAGTGCCAGTAGCACTGCACCTGATTGTTGAAACATCTCACTGGGTATTCTGTTAATTCCTGGACCCTCTTTTTTTTTTTGCCAGTTCCTTCAGTGCAGCTTGGACTTCTTCCTTCAATACCATCAGTTCTTGATCTATTCCACCTTCTGAAACAGATGAACATTGACCAATTCTTTTTGGCATCGTGACTCTGTGTATTCCTTCCATCTTCTTTTGTTGTTTCCTGCATCATTCAATGTTTTGCCCATAGAATCTTTCTAAAGTACAACATGAGGCTTAATTTTTTTCTTCAGTTTTTCAGCTTGAGAAATACTGAGCATGTTCTTCCCTTTTGATTTTCTAACTCCAGGTCTTTGCACATTTCCTTATTAATAATTGACTTTGTCTTCTTGAGCTGCTCTTTGAAATCTCCTGTTCAGCTCTTTTATCTTGTCATTTCATCCATTTGCTTTAGCTACTCTGTTCAAGAGCTAGTTCCAGAGTCTCTTCTGACATCCATTTTGGTCTTTTCTTCCTTTCTTGTCTTTTTAATGACCTTTTGTTTTCTTTATGAATGATATTCTTGGTGTCATCCCACAATTTGTCTGGTTTTTGGTCATTGATGTTCAATGAGTCAAATCTATTCTTCAAATGGTCTCTGGATTCAGGTGAGATATAATCAAGGTCATATTTTGGCTTCATGGACTTGTTTTAATTATCTTCAGTCTCAACTTGAAGTTGCATATGAGCAACTGATGGTCTGTTCCACAGTCAGCTCCTGGCCTTGTTCTGACTGATAATACTGAGCTTCTCCATCGCCTCTTCCCACGATGTAATCTCTGATTTCTGTGTATTCCATCTGGCGAGGTCCACCTGTATAGCCATTTATGTTGCTGAAAACAGGTGTTTGCAATGAGTAAGTCATTGTTCTTGGAAAATTCTATCATGCAATCTCTGGTGTCATTTCTATCACCAAGGCCATATTTTCCAACTAGTGGTGATTCTTCTTTGTTTCCAATTTTCGCATTGCAGTCACCAGTAATAATCAATACATCTGGCCAGGTAGCTGTCTTCCAACGTGACTGCATGTTTGGTCTGTTTCAGACTGCAGAAGTTGGTAAAAATCTTCAATTTCCTCATCTTTGGCTTTAGCGGTTGGTGCATAAAATTTGAATAATAGTAGTATTAACTCTTCTTCCTTGTAGTCATATGGATACTATCCTATCACTGACAGCATTGTACTTCAGGATAGATCTCAAAACATTCTTTGTGGCAATGAATGCTTTGCCATTCCTCTTCAATTTGCAATTCCTGGCATGGTAGATCATATGGTTGTTTGATTCAAAATGGCCAAAACTAGTCCATTTCATGTCCCTAATGCCTAGGATATTGAGCTTTATGTATTTCATTTAATTTTTGGCATCTTCCAATTTTCTTAGATTCATACTTCATACATTCCATGTTTTGATTATTAATGAATATTTGCAGCTGTTTCTTCCCATTTTGATTCAAGCCCCATCAACACATGGGGGTCCTGAAAGCTTTACTCCATCCATGCCATTAAGGTCAACTCTACTTTGAGAAGGCAGCTCTTCCCCAGTCGTATTTTGAGTGCATTCTGACCCGAGGTACTCTTCTTCTGGCACTGTCAGACAATGTTTCATGGCTGTTCGTGAAGTTTTCCAGTAATATGTCAGACAGTGTTTCACTACTGTTCATAAGGTTTCCACTGGCCAATTCTTTGAGAAGTGGATGGCCCCTTCCTTCTTCTGAGTCTGTCTTAGTCTGGAAGCTCTGCTGAAACCTGTCCACCATGGGTGACCCTGCTGGTAGTTGAAATAGTGGTGGTGAGCCTTTAACCTCACAACATCATGTAAGCCACCACAGTATGACAAAGTGACAGATGAATGGTGGTTTACACTTACACACATACAGTACACCTCAGTTCAGACTAGGGATTTTTTTTTTTACAACTTATTTGTACTGTGCAACATTTGACATTTCAGAAACATTCACGTATACAGTTCAATGACAGTAATTATATTCATTATGCTGTTCCAGCATCAGTCTTACCCATTCCTCAGTTTTTCCACACATGATTTTTAGGGACAAAATTCTGTTGTCACATAGATACAACATGCTAAAGAATTTGAATATGGGGACAGGCTTGGGTCCTTTTCCAATTTTCTTCTTCTAGAAATCCTTCTTACTGTAGCAAAACTCTGTGGACTTTTCTTAGGGTAACTGCGTGGACCTGATTTTCCTTGCATTCGGGAAGACCATATTCCTTTTATCCAATCACTTCCTAGAGCATACGCTTACTAGAATAGAAGAGCTGCTTCCCAGTGACCTTCCTGTTTCCACTGACTAGCCCCACTGGTATTGCTAGGACTTTTCCTGGAAAGATCCTAGAGGCTAAAGCCCAGAGCTGGATGATTTTGCACAGACACGACTTTCTAAACTACGCAGAAGGCTTGAGTTGCCAGGATGGTGTGAACCTGCCAGTATTTTGCTGACTCTTGCCAGAATACTGGCCCTACTGCCAACCGTTAACCACAATTTTCTCCCAGTAAAAAGGTCTTTATGAAAGGGTTGTTAAAGTATGGCTACTTCAATGAGAACTTTGTTGTATTCTTAGCACTACATTATCTGAAGGACATTAAAGTAGACTCACCCTTTTTTAAAAATCCAAAGAGTAACATGTGATTTTTCTATGTTTGTATTTTCAGAAGTGAAATTTATCTGCAAAACTCCAGCTATCGCTGATATTGTAATCCTGGTCGATGGGTCATGGAGTATTGGAAGATTCAACTTTAGATTAGTTCGGCTTTTCTTGGAAAACCTGGTTACAGCATTCAGTGTGGGCTCAGAGAAGACACGAATTGGTACTTCTTTTTGTCTATTATTCATAATAGCAATTAGCTGCCAGTATAAAATTAATTTCAAAAGCTCTTTACAAATGATTTTCACAATGGCAAGAACAATTGTGTTTATTTCTTCAAATTTTTGGTATGAGACTGTAATCCAATTAATTATTGAAAAATTTAAATTTTCTAAAAAGTAGAAGTCTTCTTGACTGATAGTAGTAGTAGCAGAATAATAAACTTTCAAAGTTCAAATTTTTTTAAGAATTTATCCTGTGGCAATTTTCATTTTATTTAAAAGAAACAGCTGAATCCAGTAAAATGCTGAAGTATGAACATTGGCAATCATTTTATAGTACAAAATCATCTTTGCCAAATTAATTCTAGCCAAGATAAGTGCAAAAAGCAAACAAAAGAGAGTTGTAAATCTTTAAGCAATATGTTAACTTTATTATAAAAAATCTCATAGTTCAACTTTTAAATAGCATTAGGGAAAATTCCTGACGTCCATTGAAGGGGTTAGTTTGGATCTATCTGGGAATAGGGGGTATATATTTTCTAGCTATTTAGAAGTAAGCACCCAGTTACGTATTTAACATTAAAAAAAAAAAAAAAAAAAAGACAGCATTTGTAAATGAAATGTGTGAATTTATTACATTTTGTCAAAGAACTGATTTTAAGAATTTTCTTTCCAGAGTACATCTCCAGATAGAAAAAAAAAAATGCTATAAAGAACAGGAACTTCATCAATCATATATCTTGAGTAGTCCACTTTACCTTTGAGTAACTATCATTGCTGGGTGGAATTTCTCATCTTTCTTTTCCAGGCCTTGCTCAGTATAGTGGTGACCCCAGAATAGAATGGCACTTGAATGCCTTCAGCACAAAGGAAGAGGTGATTGAAGCTGTCCGAAACCTACCGTACAAGGGAGGAAACACGCTAACAGGTCTGTTTTGTTCAGTCCACGTGCTTAGCAACATAGCTTGCCCAAGAATAGTTTTGTTATCTCAGTCTGCTGCTCTGTGAGGATTAGCATGGTAGTTTTCAACCAGACTAGCACCTAAAATTTTTCGATGGTTCTTTTCCCAAATTCTTTAAAAGAGTTCAAACGCACATATCTCCTTCTTCTGCAGTATAAGTCTTATGTCCCTGGATAGGCTTGGCTGGGCTAGAAGAACACTGAGCAGTCCTTGGGGCTAACATCCTCAAGTTCACTATCTTTTCTTTGCACCTCTTTTCCTTCTCTAGCCACCCTGTCATTTAAATGAAAACAAATTTTTGTCTTATTTTCAAAGAAGAGATCTTCTTTGCCATTATCCTGCAATCAGTATTTGTCAAGAGCATGTTTGGGGGATCTTTGGCTTACCTGTGTTTTTAATGCACCAGTAGCATAAGAACATGTAGCTTTTCTTTATCCAGGGTATAGCCACAAGGAGTTTGCACAGGTTTTTACCTTAATAAATGCTGTTTCCTTCCAAAGGTACATACAATACAGAAGTTCTGCTTAAACACTGTTGATGCTCTAATCAACTTTTAAAGAAACCATTGAAATCCTGACAGTTGCTTTGCTAATTTGAGTCAAAAAAGAGTAGAAATCACATTCATACAGCAAAAAGAATATTAACCAGAATTCTTTAAGAATATTACAGCCATTCTGATTTTTTTCTGTGGGAGAAGGATCACAGTCAAAAGGCAGGAGTTAAATTATTATCTTAGATCTTCTCCACTCTTCCCAAAAAGAGAGAGAGAGAATTTTGGTTCTATGATCATCATGAACAAAATTGATAGCATGATGATGATTTTTTGGGACAGTCACTTCTAAGTGGGTATTCTAGCTTCATCCTAAATGTTAAAAGTTTAGATATACCTGTACACAAGATTTTTAATGTCAATGACCATGAAGTCAATCTTTTTTTTAAATGTTAGTTTCTGAAATGATGCAGTGTTGGGTTATTTTTATTCTATTCTGGTGAACATTAGTTTTCCATCATATCTGTCAAAGGAAAACTCATAAAAGAAGGTTCACTTCTAATAAAAGCTCTTTTAGCTCAGTAAGTTACTCATCTGTGGTTATATTTTGCAGTATTGGAAAGCTTTTATTAGCGATGGTTGGCTTGTGCTTATTTTTCCTTCTTTTTCACCCTTAGGTCTTGCCTTGAACTACATTTTTGAAAATAGCTTTAAACCAGAAGCAGGAGCAAGGTCTGGAGTATCCAAAATTGGCATTTTAATCACTGATGGAAAATCCCAAGATGATATTATTCCTCCATCCAGAAACCTTCGTGAGTCTGGTGTAGAACTGTTTGCCATAGGTATGTGTCACTTATGGTCCTGTCTCAACAATGGGCACAGACACACAACTGTTGGAGATAATAATCAAAGCCAAGAGCACTTCACTGAAAGCCAGGAGACCTGGGCATCTCATGGCCATCATTGTGCCATCAGTTAGAACTATGATCTGAGCCCAATTTCCTTTCCTTTGAAATGGAAGTGAGGGCAAGTGTCATGTACTCCATAGTGTGAGGATCTGTAGGTGAGGTATCATACAGCAAAAGTTGTGCAAAGCATAAAGTGGCATGGGAAAATTAGGTACATGCTTTGTTACATTTAATTAGTCAAAACTCTCTCTTTAGTGTCACTTAAGAAAAACCAATTTACTGTTTTCAAGGAATTCAGATTCTGCAGCAATTTAAAGAAATCACAAAGTTCTAGATATGCAGTATTATTTTCTTTGAGACCAGCTGACCAACCTTTTATAAAGTATTATTTCTTTGGAGAGGGATATATATATATATATATATATATATATATATATATATATGGCATACTTTGAGAACAACTGCAAATTATTTAGATGATACAAATTTGCACGTTATGAAGATGTTTACTTTTTTTTTTCCCGGCAGTAGATAAGTCTTCTGTTTAGTAAGACTGACAAACTTTCTGAGCAGGAAAAAAGTCAGATTCCCAAGCAACATTCCCAAGCAAATAAAAATGCCACAGCAAATTCTTTAACAGGGCTCTGAAGGCATTTAAAACTGGTTATGTTTCGCATATTTGATTATCCTATTTGTTACCAATCTTTAGTGTAATTAAAATACATTTAGCTCCCTTTCATTTACCAGGAATATGGCCCAATCTTCTCTCTGTAAACTCTCAGTCGGAAGATGATACTCCACCCTGTACTTTGATACTAGTTTGGGGAGACATACCAGCTGTCAGTATAGAAAATACAGATGCCAGGAATCCTGTTTTAGTCCTATTAATTGAAATGCACAGGGCATAGAAGCCAGTGAATCTATGCTTTAAAAACATACCCCTAGATGGTTTTTGCAGTGCAGGGTTGAGAACTACTGGTAAACCCACTGGACAATCTCTGTGTGCATTGTTCAGGTTTCTCTCCTCTTTAGAGAAAGACCCTAAATATTTTGTACATTATACTTTTTATTTCACCAAAGCATGTTTCTAATCAATCATTTTCTCAGAACCTTTTTCCTACTATTTCCAAGTTCTGCCTGAGAACAGCTGCATAAGTGAGAAGAGGTGCCTGTATAGAAATGACATTCTTCCCTGCCTTTTCTTTCCCCTATCCCTGTAACATCTCTGGAAGGTGGCACTTGGCTACCAATGAAAAGGTTGGTGGTCTGAACCCACCAGCTGTTCCATAGGAGAAATGTGGCAGTCAGCTTCCATAAAGATGACAGCCTTGGAAACCATATGGGCAGTTCTGCTCTGTCTTGCAGGGTCACTGTGAGTTGGAATCAACTCAATGGTGATGAGTTTTTTGGGTGGCATCTCTGGACAGTGAGTTCCTGGAGAGCAAGGCTATGTCTTCCTCATCTTTTCATCCCCTGCACCTATCTAGTCCTTGAGAGTTGATAAGTGCACAGTAAAATGGTTACTGAATAACTTGGAGTGACTAGAAGATTTCTAAGACAGCAATAGAACCCTTAGTATTAATGTAGTATTAGTATGTTTGTGAAAGATACAAATAAAAGTACATACTCCTATAGTAAGAGCCATTTAAAAATACTGTTAGTAAAAGCTACACTGTCTAATCACAGGAAAAAGAGCAAAAGAATTTCAGGGAAAAATTAAGAATATGTTGTATCAGGCTTTGGTTTTGATTAATTGTAACCTCATTATTTAGAGTATATGTGTGTGGGTATTAAATCTTGGTGGTATACCAGTTCACAAGAGCCAACACAAGTGCATCTCTTCTTCAATGCACATTCTGTGAACGCAGATTGGTGGTTTGAAGTCAGCCACAGTGGGTGTATTTACAGCACATGAATTGGCAAACACTACATATCAGGCCAGAAAGCTGATTGTTAAACATTAATCTGCACACCACTGGAATTTATATGGGCAATAAACTAACTGTTTTTCACCATATGGCAAATTCCATTCCAAAGACAAATGTCAGATTTGCCCCAGGAGTTGATGCAGACTCACTTGGCCTTGCCTTCAGGTTTATCAGCACATCTCTCAGAGCCATCAGTGAGAAAAAAAATTCCTCTGACCCACTCCTAGATTTGCTACTCAAAATGTGGTTTATAGAATGTTTCATTTGGGAGTGTTCTTTCATTTTCTCTGTGCCAGGCGTCCCGCTGGGTGCTTGGGCACAAAGCTGAGTGAGACAGTCCTGACCAAACAAACTCCTTCAAAGTCGGAAGGAGCATTTCCTTGCTTTTCCACGTGGTGCAGGGACAATTAAGTTATTTTATTTGGCAAGGGGAGGGAGAGGCAGATTTGGGGACTCTCTTTCTTAGAATATTCTTATGTGAATCCAAACTTGGTGTTGGTTTTAACTGGATGCTGTAAGAAGCATTACTAGCACTCAGCTTGCTGCTTCAGCATGTACTCAGTGTTATAACTATTGCAGAAGTCCTTCAGGCAAGAGATGTCAAAGATACTTATTTTTCCTGTTCCTTTATACAACAAAGGAAATTCCTATGGAAGACTCATACTAATCATGGATTAATTTAAGTTTACGCTCCATTTTCTGGTCTTGTTAATAATGGACAGGTACGTTTTTAAACAAAATTTTAAGTGAATTCATCCAAATGTGATTTGGATCCCCACCCCCTCTGGAAATGACCTGGAAATCAATAGTATTTGCTGTTGTATAACCACATAAAGCAAATAGCTCAAAGACACTTGCTGCTTTCTTACTCAATGTGTTGAAGGTTGGAAGATAAATTAAGTGGCCCAGGCAGGCACCTAAGAAGTACTTCCTGGTGCCCCAGGTAATCTCTCTTCCTCGCTTCAGTGGTCCCTCTTTTAATGCTGTCAGGTAACTGAAATGATAGGATTTACAAAGAAATCCGTCTTGCTTGCTGAAGTCCAGAAAAGAGAAATCTAGCCTTCCACTAGAAAACTCCCAGCCCTGTGCCTGCCCACCCCGCTTTTTTTTTTGGTCTCATTTCACTTTAAATGTTCACTCATTATAGTGTCCGCCTCTTGCGAAGCTGCAATATGATGGAATGGCTATGGTGGAATGGGTAAGAGCATAGCACTTTGGATCTAGATTGCCTAGATAGTGTCTCAGCTACAAAGTTAGTGAATTGTGACCTTGAGCAAATTCATTTAATTTTCTGGGCAGCAGTTTTCTTAGTGTAAAATAGGGAAAACAACCACCACAACAATACTACATGAATATACATGTAACACGTGAGCACTTGTAGCACAGTCAGCACACTCTTAGTCTCAGCTTTCGCTGTTTACGTAGGCTGGAAGTGGTAGGAGGGCAGGGGCTGTTCTTCGTAGTGCCTGCTGTGCAAACAGCCAGCATTCAGCTTGACTTCTCATGGAATTCAGTAAATATTGTGGAAGAACCAGAGAGCTTGCATGTTTGCTTTAGCAAAACTATAGTGCTTACTAAATGACAAATTGTTAAAAAAAATTATTTGGTTTAATTTCAGACTTTATATTTGTATGTATATACCCACACACATATTTATGTGTATATGTATGTATCCCACCTACTGCTATCAAGTTGATTCTGACTCAGCAACCCCCATTGGATATCCAAGGCTGTAAATCTTTACTGAAATAGACTGCCTCATCTTCCTCCTGTGGATCAGCTGATGGGTTTGAACTGCCATTCTTCTGGTTAGCAGCCAAATGCTTTAACCACTATACCACCAGAGCTCCTTATATATATTTGTATATATCTATATATGTATAGGGAGCTCTGGTAGTGTAGTGCCTAAGGCACTTGACTGCTAACCAGAAGGCTGACAGTTCAAACCCACCAGCTACTCCTTGGAAGGAAGATGGGACAATCTACTTCCGTAGTGATACAGCCTCAGAAACCCAAGGAGGGGTCGCTATGAGTTGGGTCTGACTCGACGGCACATAACAACAACATATATGTATAATAAGCTCTGGTGGTGTAGTGGATAAGGCACTTGACTGCTAACCGGAAGGTCAGCAGTTCAAACCTACCAGCTGCTCCGTGGAAGGAAGACGGGGTAATCTACTTCTGTAAAGATTTACAGCCTCGGAAACCCAATGGGAGTCACTGTGAGTTGGAATTGACTCAATGGCAGTGAGTTTGGTTTAGTGGTTATATATGTATACAAGTATATTTGTGTGTGTTGGCAGTCATGCCTTTTTATTGCTATGTAGTATTCTTGGGTATGAATGTACCACAATTTGTTTAACCATTCATGCATTGAACATTTGGGTTGTATACTGTTTTGGAAAGAAAGCTGCTATATAATATATACATAAACTGCTATCTACATATATATATATATATATATATATATATATATATACACACATACATATATATGCCTATATATATGTGTATATATACATAAGGAGCTCTGGTAGCATAGTGCCTAAGGCATTTGACTGCTAACCAGAAGGCTGGCGCTTCAAACCCACCAGTCACTCCTCAGAAGGAAGGTTGGTCAATCTACTTCTGTAGTGACACTGCCTCAGAAACTAAAAGAGGGGTTGCTATGAGTCAGATCCAACTC